TCAACACTCTTTCCATCTCATGAATCCAATTGCTTGTACTCTCAGATAGTAGGGAATGAAGTTGACAATAATTTGCTCTTGAATGTCACACTATTGCCCTATGCTGGTAGGATGCCCATATCATATCATGTCATTTGCCAAACTGCTTTATACCCTACGGTGTCGCGGGAAGCTGGAGCCTACCTGGCAAACAACGAACGCAAGGCAGGGTACACCCTGGATGGGGCGCCAGTCCATCGCAGGGCAAGTGCAAGCCAGTCATGGGGACAATTGGGGACATGGGGACAATTTGGAGGCCATGGTAAAGGCCGAGGGGGGAAATTTGGCCCGCACACTGGGGTAACTCCCTACTCTTCTCGAGAAATGCCCAGGGATCTTTAATGACCACTGAGAGTCAGGACCTTGGTTTAACATCTCATCCAAAAGACGGCACCCACTACAATATAGTGTCCCCACCACTATATTGGGGCATTAGGACCCATACAGACCGCAGGGTGGGTAGCCCCCATTGGTCCCACTAACACCACTTCCTACAGCAACCATAGCTTCCCAGGAGGTCTCCCATGCAGATACTGACCAGGCTCGCACTGCTGGGCTTCAGTGGGTAGCCAGTTGAGAACTGAAGGGTGATATGGCTGCTGGCTGCTGGCCCATTTTATGTTTTTTTTTTTTTAATTTGCAATTCAAGGCATTGATCTCACACCTGCCCTTTTACAAGTAAATAACTGCAAAAAGGATGAATTAATGGTGAGGGATTTTGTTCTTGGCTTTAGGAGAGACAAAATATCTCTGGAGGTGGTTAGCATTGCAGCCTCTCAGCACTGGGACCCCGAGTTTATTTCCCAGACTGCTATCTGCATGGAGTCTGCATGCTTTCCCCTTGTTCACATGGGTTTCTCCCGAGTGCTCTGCTCTGATTTCCTCCTCCAGTCTAAAGTAGGTTCATTGGCTTCTGTGAAAACTGACCCTAGGTGTGAGTGTGCATCTGCCCTGCAATGGACTGACTTCCTGACCAGGGTGTATCCTGCTTTGTGCCCAATTTTTGCTGGGATGAGCTCTAGTTTCCCTGCAACCCTGTATTGAATAAAGCAGCTAGGGTGGATGGAAAACATCTCCGTCATCCTCAAAGGCAAAGGTTTTACTGGATAAACCTTCCTATAGCTATACACAGACTGCTTTCCCACTAACTTTACTGTGCTCCTAGTTCCTTGGTGGCTGATTGGTGGGTGTGCTGGGGCGGTAGGACTGTTTCTGCTCATCATCTCCATTCTGTTCCTGCTGTGTTGCAAAAGGGACAAAATGTCAGGTGAGTCTACTTACATTATGTTGACAATAGGGCTCTGTGCTCTGAGCGAACTACAGGGGGGATATCACCCCTTTCTGAAATCTAGACCACATAATCGGTGCAGCAGCATTCTCTGCTGGCTAGAATGCCACAGTAGCGCTGTGTGGCTCTGAGCCCACCAGAGGCAATAACTGAATCTTGGCAGGGGCAGTGAGCTTCTTGACATGTAAGGTAGAGGTAGATTTCAATGTGTGTTTGAGTTTTTGGTAAGAGAGAAGGCATTGTGAGGGTTCAGATCGTAAGTGAGATAGGCTGGGAGCTTAATAGTTTGATAGTGTGGGGGTAAAAACTGTACAATTCTGTACAATCTGTACAAACCAAAAAACAGTCTATTCTTGCTTTTTAATTGTTGACTCAGGGGTGTACAGCTTTTGACTTAACAACGACCTACAGAGCACTTAGGATTCCCTCCCACATTATGTTTTATACATTACTTGTTTAACTAGTGCAAACTAAAGAAATGCTTTTACTAACGAACCATGTTGAACTCTTTCGTTGTTCAGCTGTAAGGAGTCTTGTCTCTTATTTCTGTATGGAAAACAGCATGCAGCTTTTTCCACAAAGGGTGCAGGGAGTATGGAACAAGCTACTTTTATAGATTCCCGGGAGTCTGAAGTTGGTGTGCTTTTGGATTTTCTGGATTTTGCAGAGAAATTAAGGTGTGAGGATGCCCTCTATGAGAACGTTGACCTGAATGACAAGAGAAAAGGTGAGGATCAGCTCGCTCCCAGAAAATTGATATTTTGACATCAACGGAAAATGAAGAAGAAGAAAGGCTTTGCACTTTCCAATCTGTATTTCTAGTTTATTTTGATCCTTGGGTGGGCTTTAAAATATACAGTATGGGTCCATGTAGGTTTTCCTTTTTTAAGTAAGAGGTGTTGCCTGGGGTTAAAAAAAGACAGCATCTCTAGCTTCCATGAGGGCCTGGACGAATGACACCCCAACAGGAGATATGTCCCTCAAGTACTTTTTGAAGACCATAAAGAGCTCAGAACTAGGGTATTCATTGGTTAGCCTAAGTGGTGTCAGAACGAGGGTGAGGGGTCGTTAGGTTTCACAGCAAACGTGCAATCTGGCTCTACCACTAATAACCAGAGACTGAGCAAACAGCATGGAAAGACAGACACCAGAAAGTTGGCATTTGAGCTGTCTATGCCTCAAACCCCCTGAAATCTGATCTCATCGCTGTACAGAGTTTGCATGTTTTGCAGCTATATCACAATGCAACTCACAACGGACAGCGCACTAAAAGTGCGAGCCTGGTCAGTACCTGGATGGGAGACCTCCTGGGAAAGCTAAGGTTGCTGCTGGAAGAGGTATTAGTGGGACCAGCAGGGGGCGCTCTCCCTGCAGTCTGTGTGGGTTCCTAACGTTCCAGTAAAGTGAGGGGCACACTAATCTACAAAAAACTTGCCTACACTCAGATGAGACATTTAACTGAGGTCTTGACTCTCCGAGTTCGTTAAAAATCCCAGGATATTTCTTGAAAAGAGTATGGGTATTCCTCTTGGACTTTATCAATCAGGGCCTTATTTTAATCTATGAACTGGTTTCATCACTCTGTTCTCCTCCCCACTCATAGTTGAACATCTGGCACAGTTTTTATATATTGCAGTTTCAATGAGTTTATACTTGTCTATATGTCAATGCACACGCTATACTTTGGGTGTGGAGCAGTGGCTCTGTGGCTAAGGATCTGTGCCTGTGGCTGGAAGGTTGCTGGCTCAAATCCTGCAGCTGGCAGAGGAGTCCTACTCCATTGGGCCCCTGAGCAAGGCCCTTAACCCCAACTGCTCTGGGGGTGCTGTACAATGGCTGACCCTGTGCTCTGACCCCCAGCTTCTCTCCCTGTCTGTGTGTCTCATGGAGAGCAAATGGTATGTGAAAAGACAAATTCCTAATGCAAGAAATTATACAGGGCTAATAAAGTGATGTTATGTTATATCTCCTCTGATCCATACACTACAGTGTCAATGAATTTATACAGTATTTCTCTAGATTTCGTCTGATCCATACATTACAGTGCCAATGGGTGTAGATTTCTTGAAGTCTCTGATCCATGATTTTACTGCCATTCCAGATCCAGAGGTACAAGAGGTGTGCTATTCCACAGTTTCCTTCAGGAAAAGTAAGGATTTCAACAACATAACTAAACTGCAATTTCAGTAATGGCTTGCCGTCTTTCCAGATCCCAAACTTCCTCACAACAAAGAATGCTGGGATAGTGTGGGCAGGGAAGCAAATGGTCATTAACGTGTTGGAGGGCTGGTAGACTTCAGACTTGATCGCCAGTAACAGATTGGGCCAAGACCCCCCAGAATGAACACCTTTTCTCTTCTGAAAAGTGCCTCGATATCTTCAGCAATTCAAGTCTGGTTACAACAAACGAAACCTCTCAGCAAAAACACCAAAAAGACTTCCTTCCGGACTATTTTGTTTAACAGAAATCTTAGGCCGCACCTCATTTCGTTGAAATAAACAGAATATCTCAACACTGGTAACTCTTGTCTCTGAATTCCAATATATCTTTTTTTCTTGCGATGATCTTTACTAGGAGTACACCCAACAGGAAAGAATGAAGTTACCGATTCAACGGCTGACTCGACGAAGCCGGGAGACAAGAGAGGGATCACAGGTGTTGACCTACATTCTCTCACACGCTGAGACGTTAAGCTTTTCAAGTAGGCTTTGGGAGCATTCCCGTTTCACCCTTAATACCCTTCTTCTCTTTCATCTTCAGATAAACCCCGCATAGACTGCAACGAACTGGCCTCCGCCCTCGTCAACCTCAAGAGCGCAAACCAAGGTGTGCAGACTTTCTGCCTTCACCTACAGTTCCACTTTCCCGCTAGAATCGGTGTAGCTATCTCAATCTCGGTGTTGTTGGCTGCACTGCCTATAACTCCAACGATGGGCCTCCCGTCTGCTATCGTCTGCTATCGTCCGTCAGCGGAGAGACCAATACCTGCCCGCACTTCACTCACTGCCTGCATAACTGCGAGGTTTATGTGGGTTTATTCAGTTTCTGGGCTGGGGATGGCTCTGTAAAGTGTCAGTTATTCTGATCGCCCCTTATGGTTTATTAAACTTGGACACAAATATTTTTTTTTGCATCATGGAAAAGGTCTGAATTATGTAAAATTGTATTATTTTAAATTATTTTCATTTTTTGTACTTAAAACAGCTCTTTCCTTCAACCTCCCCAACAATCGATCAGATTTCCTTTTTGTACTCCCCTCGACACCAAACTACTACGTACTAGGACTACATATTGTCATTTTCCTTTACAGATCAGCCCCAGACGGGATGCACACAGCCTATTTATGCTGTTTCTACAAAGACAAAAGGCAGAGGTAAGGATTGTCTAGCTTGTCTTTTGAGAGACGTTGAATTTTGAGTCTGCGCTCGAAATTCTCCCCGATCACCAGGAGAAGGGGGAAGCAAGATGTTTCAAAGTTTATTTCCCCAGTGCCGGTTATGATCTTGCGATTGACATTGAGCATGCTGAGATTCTCTCGGCTCATTTCCGGACTGTGTGTCTTTCAGTTCAACACCAGGTGTCTGACGGCACCTGGCCCACCTCTGTGAACGAACTGAAAAAGAAATTCCGGGTCACAATCAAGAGTAAGTGGCTCCAGATTTCTTGCACTGTTCTCAAGCAATCATTCCTGTAGTGTGTGAAGACTTAAAGGTTTTTACACCAACCACTCTCACAAGTCAGTAATTGGTCAAAAAGGACTTTTATATCGATAATCTTCATTATCTTTGCTGACTGCCCTCTCTTTCTTACACCCAAGACGTTGTGTTTCTTCTCTTTTCAGCATGGATTAAACCCATTACTTGTTCCTTTGCAGCCTACGCATGCTGACGCAGCTACTGTACCCACCTGAACTACTTAATGTAATAAACAGTACTACCACGTACTTTAACTCCATGTAAAAGAGCAGAGGTGGCATTTCTAAAACACCACCATAAACGGGCAGCGTTCCTTTACAGTCCTGCTCCTTATAATTGATCATTTCTCCCATTACAGACAAGGCTCCGAAGACGAACAATGACGCACAACATCAAGGTAAAGACAGACTCGTGTCTCTCCTGCTGTGCACGACGAGGAAACTGCGGGAAGCCTTTGCAAATATCACGAGCTGAAACCCGAGAGAAGCATAACATGAAAATGCCCCGGACCGTGTCCCCTGTTTTTTCCCCCATCAAATTGCGCGATAAAGAGAGTTCCCCCTCTTTCGCGTCACTCATCTCGTTCTTTCACGTGTGCGTTTCAGCTGGGACAGCGGCCAGCAGGAGCGAGCAGCCCTACTCCATTATTGAGCTGAAGGACAGGACCAAAGGTATGGACGGCCGTAATTCGCACGAAGAGTAAGGAATGCTACGCGTGCAGAGGAGAGCTGTAATATCATGCGAGTCTTCGGGTGAACCTCTTTCTCTTTTTATACTGTAACGCATACGGCCACCATTGTGGACTGTTAGAGCCGGCTTACGAGAGCGGTGACGTCACCGCCCTTCCCTGTGAGCCGCCGGGCTGATGGGAGATTTCCCTTTGGCTCAAGTGACGCCGGAGGCCCGGGTTCGAGTCCCCGACGGTGGGGGGCCGACCTGAGGCGGCAGAGGCGAGGGCGCGTACCCATTGTTAACCCCGGAGCGTTACAATACTGTAGCGTTCCACTCCCCCCATCCCCGGAGTTATGGACTGTGCCGTTGACCCATGACCTTGAGTCACAGCTTCCCTTTGCCCCCGTGCCCTACATAAGGGCACCCTTGAGCGCTTGTTCTCTTTGCACCGCCTGGCCAGCTATGGGAACTGCGCTTCTCCCTTTTCCCTGCACCTGCAGTGGCTCTCTCTCTCCTTATGTCTTCCTGGTGAATAGCCCTTTCCTCTGTAACTAAAAGGGCAGTAAACCCCCTGCCTCCTGCCTGTTCTCTATCACCATCAGGGCTCTCTCAAAGGGGGGGCCAAGGGGGAAGCTTTGCCCCCTCAGTCCTGCTTCACACACGCAGCAAAATATCAATACATACATGTTTAAATCTTTTAATAAAGCAACACGCAGAACTCTTGTTTTAACTCCAGATGAAATCTCAAGTTAGCGGGAGACCAGATGCTTTATTCAGAGCCGGAGGCGTGTCCCGCCCTCACTACGTCACAGGCGTCGGTTGCCAGCCAAACGTGATCGCGGCAGATCTGAACAAGCTTGGACAAGGAGTTAGCAATTTAGCAAGTTGGCAAGAGGAACAGCGGCGAGCACAAGCAGGGGACATTTCGAAAATACCACAGCGGGTGCGAGAAAAGAAAGAGGAAGCAGAAGAGGGAGGGTGGAAATGCGGGACTCGAAGGGTCTGTGGGAAGGTTCGTTGTGAAAACCAGGAGCGAAGAAGAAACGGACACGGGTGGTGATCTCGACGACGACAAGGACGCTGGCGTTGAGACACCTGACGGTACCAATAGCATCAGCAACAACAGCGATGAGTAGTTCTGTTCGGTTCTGTTTGTTTTGTTTTGCGCAGGCCGGTTAGGGAGCTATTTCATCACCTCAGTGCTGCTCCCTGCCACCACCGCTACACACAAGACCCCCCGGGCTCCCTGCCCACCCCTTGAGACGGCCCTGGTCACCGTCTGGGCTGGGGTCGATTTGCTCCATCACGTAACTATACTCTGTAATTTGAGAGTACTTTTCTTTGTAAAAATGTTTTTTGGGCTGCTTTCAGCATGAAATAATGCCTAAACATGATTGCTTTCCAGCTGAGAATCCAGCACCCAGCAGTCAACAGCCGTACTCCATTGTCAGATTGAAGAAGATCAAAGGTAGGGATGCTTGATGAATAACAGATGACTGAACCACACCTGACTATACAGAAGAGTGCTGTAATGTGGCCTAGGACTTCTTCTTCTGTTCCTGTGCGTTTCCTCACCATAGAAGACACACAATACAAACCTGATTTGAGAACAGGCCTGCTTCCGGTGGAGAGTCTCACCTTTTTGTTCTTGCTCTGCAGAGACAGACTCCATCCGGACTCGCTCCCCTGTGGCGCCGGAGCCGCTGTACGAGGAAATTCCGGATTAACACGCGCAGAAGGCAGCGCCGTCTCGCGGAGGACTGCGCGCCGCAAACGTCTTTTTTCCAGATGAAAAAAATCTTTTCACAGAGACCCTACCCCGTCCTCTTTTTCTCACTCGTTCTCTACTATATTTATTGATTTGCAAAAGCAACGGTTTTTTTTGCACATTCTCTTTTTACTTTGTCTAGAGTACGAAATTATATTTCCATCGTATCCTATCTCTTATGCAGAATAAATAATACGACCGTATTAAAGAACTTTGTAATAATTATGTACACCTGTTGGTATTTCACGGACTATTATGAGCCCAGATTAAATGTTTGCAACAATAACACACCTTTATTTTTAATAGTTTCTTTGACACTGTATTAAAATACTATAATATAGAATTGTACACACTTTATCACTTGACTTGGTTTAAAACGTCATGGAATGATTAAGTAACACAACGATAAAGAATCAACACATACTCTAACAAAGTCACCGGTCTCATCTGTTTTTTTTTCCCCTTAAATCTAAAATCTCACAATCCTTAGATATGTGGGTAGAGACCTTAATAGTCAGTCCAAACGGTTGCAATGGGAAATCTTTTTTCCTTCTGCTGAATTAGCACACGGATTAATCCGTTTTAATCTGGTCGCCCCACTTCGAAAAAGGGAGTCAATGAGAATTTGCGCAACCCCTACATCCCGTTCTGACACAAACACTTCCGGCTTCTCCTCGGTGAAGACTCGCGGGCTGTGGTCAGCTTTCTCTTGCCTCGTCATTCTTTATAACCAGGTCTTACCCCATCCACAAAACAGAGGAAAACAGCTGGTTTTTGTTTCAGCCTGCGTAATCAGTAAATGGGCTACTTGTTTTCAACGGGTCTGGGAACAAGACCCTACATAATCGTCGTAACCCAAGGAACTGTGAAAAAGGAAGAGAGTTTTTAGTGTGGTTGGGGTGAAATGAGCTGTACTGGAGGTAGCTGTGTGAATCCGTGGGTTTGTAATAAACTGAAGTGGACAGTCCGGGGTGGTTGATAGACAAGTGGATGTCTAGAAACGGAAGAGTGGTGGAAGATATGTTAACCGTATATTTGAGGGACGGGGGGAAGTTGGTGAAATGGTGCAGGAAGAACTCAAGCTGATCGTTGGAGCATGTGGCGGCACCGACGCAGTCATCAATATATCGTTTGTAGAGGTCAGGGACATAGCCAGTGTAGGAAGCGAAGAAGCGTTCTTCTACCCAGCCAACAAAAATGTTGGCATAGCTGGGTCCCATTCGACATTCGACTTGACATTTTTTTTTACTCAAGACGGTCACTTCATTAAAGTTACGGGCACCCATACATCGCCTCAGAATCTGGTTAGAACCCTTGCAGTGCTGCAGCAAATTAAATAAATTAGACCAATGAGGTCGCTGAAAAGATGGACTGGTCTCCCATCCCGGGTGTAAACATCCTTGTGCCCATTGCTCTTCAGGACAGGCTCCGGCTCACCGGCGGCCCTAAATTGGAAGAAACAGTTAGAAAATGGATGGATGGAAGGCTAGCAAGAATGGGAGCAGAAATAAAAAAAGGACACCAGGCCCCTCCAGGAGATGAGTTACAGACTCCTCTTAAAGCCTTCCAAGTCTGAATTCACCACATATGTCTTCGCACTGTATGACGTACCACTAAACTGCACTGTCCAGCTTCAGGGAGGGTCTCCAATTGAATGGAGACATTTGCAAAATATATCTAAACATATTTTCCATTGTTTCCTTTTCACCAGTCTCCATTTTTGGTGCAATATCACTTTTGCATTTTCTCCTTATATTTTGCACTTACGTTACGGGATTACATTAATATGCTAGCACACTTTACATTTCATAAGGAAAAATACAAAAAACACACCACCCCTTGGGTGCAGCACTCCTAATTCTTCACTTCAGAAGCCAGTGGGAGATGATTTTAGATCAATAAGCTATTAAGCCTCATTTTGGCCTACCTGCACATTGTATTAAAAAAACAATGAAGTTAACAATTACAAATTAGTCCACAGAGACTACAAAGACTACAAAGGCAAAGACTACAAATGCACAGCTCGTAGAAAGTCTCTTCTGCATGGCTGCAACTGGAGTTACTATTATCCTACAGCCATCCTACCAGCAGAAGGCAGTGCTGTGCAACAGACCGAGCCCCTGACAGACTATGAACCTCAGCCCTGCTCACCTGTGTGCTACTTACACCCAGCTGTCAGGCTGGCCCAGTCTGAATCTGCAGTCTCCGTAGGACACAAGATCAAGCTTTGACCACTTGATTCTCGGGCGTCGGGGCTGGTTTAACAAAATCTCCCTGGGTTTGTGAAAGAACTTGTTCGTGCATGAGGTAAGTTTTACAAATGACAATAGGCCATTCATCCCATCTCACTTACCTGTTTGGTAGTAATCTCACCCAGCACTGTCCTGACAGAAGCAAGGGTATCGGCTGCAACAACATGGCTGGCTAGCTTGCTCTGTACTCCCATGATCTTTTGCATAAAGACACGCGTCCTCTTCTCACTGTCCTCTTCTCACCTTAAATGTTCTTCCACTAAGAGGGCCTATCTAGCTCATCTGGTTGCTAGTCGTGAAGTGATCTGCAGGTCACATCCAGCGGTTTCTTGAATAAGCCAGACTGTTGGCTCCAACACCATGGCAGCTAGCCTCGAACCTGCTTGCCAAAAAACAATTTGCGTGTCCCAGCAGCTCAGACTAGATCCAACTTTCATAATTCTTCTTTACACTTCTATAGCGTTTTTCTGGACACTCCACTCAAAGCGGTTCACAGGTCATGGGGATCCCCTCCACCACCACCAGTGTGCAGCCCCACCTGGATGATGCTCCAGTACTCTCACCCCACACCAGCTCTCAGTGGGGAGGAGAGCAGAGTGATGGAGCCAGTTCAGAGATGGGGATTATTAGGAAGCCATGATTGGTAAAGACCAATGGGAAATTCAGGTAGGAACATCCCAACTCTTTTTGAGAAACGCCCTGGAATTTTTAATGGCCGCAAAAATTCAATACCTCGGTTTTACTCTCATCTGAAGGACGGCACCTTTTCACAGTATAGCGTCCCCCTCACTAGACTGGGGCATTATAGGCTGTACAGTGTATACAGACCCAGGGTGAGCACCCACTACTGACCCCTGTAACCCCTCTTCTTTAAGCTTTAAAAGACCAAACAGCACAGCCATCTCACAGTTCGGGTTTGGCTTTATTTCAGGTATTTACAGCTTATGATTACCTACTCAAGTCAGTTATTAATGTCCAGTTTTCACAACGGGGGGGTTAAACATAGAAGATCATCCGTTAGTCAATGTCCCAACCAGTTCATTAACATTTAAAAAAAAATAACAAAAATAAAGGAAACAAATCTCTGTAAAGGTAGTGCAACAATTAAAGAACAAAGGAAAATAAATACATGTATTTACAAATCACATCTTAACTTATATGTACAAAAGAAATTGTTAGTTCCCAACGAAGAGATTCCACTTAACCAATTTAAAGGATTAATTGGCATGTTTCATTATTTTCTGATTCTCGAATATAAGCTCTATATATACTGAATATATAGATGTAAAAAGCATTGGTGTTCCATTCTTAACCCAGCAACGTCCACAGAAAATCGAATGGCGGCACATTTTGCGTTTCCTCAAGATTCCAAGACTCCCCCCCATTCCTGCCACCCCCCTACTCCCTTTCCCGATTCGGGGGAGCTGCCAGTATTCTCCCATCCTGGTCTTTCCCCCGTTTCGTGCCTACATCCTGTTCACCAAAACAACGGGTGAGCTCAGTGCCCCGCCTGCTCATTTTAAACTGGCAGGTCCCGGACTGGACACGTGGGTGACGAATTGAAGCTTCTATGCTCCTATCGATCCCAGCGATCCTGCATCATTCAGACCAGGAGGGTTACCTGGCAGTACCTGTTTAATCCACCGATAACTTAAAGAGCTGGTCGAGGTTTTATTTTAAAATTAAGCCCAAAACGCACTGAATCTCCTAGTCGAGGGCCTGGACATGGACGGTGCACACCGATACAGATGGGGGTGTCGAGAGCTGATGTGCACCAGCTATTGTATCGGTGGGATTGTCTTCACTGGTGCCGAGACAAGCATTCTCAAATTCCCCTACACCAGTGGTTCCTGGTCCCGGTGACCCACACAAACTGCAGCTTTTCATTCCAACACACCTTCATTAGATAACTGAAGCCTCAACTGAGCCCACAAGTTTGCTTCATTGGAATGTTGGCATTTTGATTTCTAGCCTCCCGTTTTGGGATTTCGTTTCACTTACGGAACCCAACGGCTCCAACGTGTTTAAAGTCTGGGATCAAACAGTTCATTGATGAATATCATTCATGTCAGGTTAATGAAGGGGTCCGATTGTGTAACCAAGGGCTCGGCTGGAACCCAAAACCAGCAGGTGTGTGTGTGTGTGTGTGTGTGTGTGTGTGTGTGTGTGTGTGTGACTAAGACCTGCATCATGGAACCACTGCCCTAAGCCAAGGGCAGTCAACCCAAGCACCTGGATTCCATGCCATTAATTAACGCGGACGACAATTCAGGATTTGCTTGGAATGACCCACAAAGACCTGGAATCCAGGTCCGCCCTTGAAATCCTGGAAGAGCGTCTTGGAATCTTAATTTCAGGAGACGCGCAAGTCCGGCCCCCTTCACACACCAGGAGTGATCATGTGAAGAAGGCACTTGCCCCTCCAGCACTGATGACTCACAGATACACGGGCTCGGTCACCCCGCCTCGGAAAGGTCAATGCAGTGTCGTGAATGACATTTCCAAGCACCTGTGCCCCCCGGGGATTAACACACTGCCCCCTTTTAAGAGTGCATTATTCAGAAGCGGCCGTCGCGATTTTTTGGGTAACGGCAGCTCATTGATTTCAAGGAAAAAAAAAAAGTCACCACCCTGCTTGCAAACTGCCAAACATACACACATTCTGGATAAAAAAAATAATCATTTTGCCCGTGTTGTTTTCAGAACCGCAAATGCATGATTTGTATAGGAAAGGGGGGGTCCAATTCTGGTTCCACAGGGCTGGTGTGCGTCTTAAAGGTCTGCATCCCAACTCGGCTCTTGACGACCAACATCAGCTCAGATTCGGTCAGAGCCAACCAATTTCCCAACCGGGCCCAGCTAATTAGCAGTTGGTGCTTTGACTGAACTTGGAAAACTTGCCGGCACGGGGCCCCCGTTTAGGACCAGAGACTGGACCACCCTGGTTTAGACATGAAAAAAAATCTCCTTCATTCTTTCACCAGAGCCTGATGTCTGTGTTTACCGATTTACAAGGGGGGCGGCAAGGAAACACAATGTATAGATCGGAAGGAAAAACAAATCTCAAAAAATATAGATTCTTCAGCACTCATGTCAAAATATACAGTACATTAGTGGCTCTGTTATACCCACCATAAAGAAATAGCAGCCAAAAAACAATAATGATAAAGAAAATAAAAACCTTCTTAGGCGAGTACATATAGACCACCTGTTTGTCTGGACGGTAATAGTGAATGCCTATGGGCTACGCAGAGACCCAGATTAGCTCATCAGACTAGCTCATAGTATTGTGCAATTATGATCACTTACACGTTGTTTCCAAGCAGTTAAAGTCAGGTTTCACGATAATCTTGGAATGGTTTAAGTGTGTGCAAAGTCAGTTCATGAATACTACCCCTAACGTAAACTAGACTAGTGGTGGGCTATCTGTGTCTTTATTAACCGGTTAATAAACAACCTGTTACTGGTTCATGCCAATGGATGTTTACCAATAAAAAGTTACTTTGTGATTTTGTCATTTTTGTTAATTCTGTATTAGGTGGTAGGGCTCTGGTCAGGCCCTCTACATGTTTCGGGGTAGCCTGTCTCTGTCCTAGACCCTTACCAGCCCTTTTAAGCTATCACCTAAGTTGTAAGGGAGACCGTTTCAGCCGTGGAGATTTCAAGGGGCGCCCCCTATAGGATCCAGGGAGGAAGAGAGGCCCACAAGTCCTTCTGCACGACACATGCTGGCAAAAAGTTAAAGGTCATCATTTCTGACTCCTAAAGAAGTAGATGAAACACAATGGTATACCAAGCAGAGTTTAACTACGGCTTCACAGAAAAGAAATATCAAAGGGTAAAGGGGGTAACGACCACTGAACTAAGGTGGCTATAATTTCACCTAAAGGAATGTATTTAAAAGAAATCTGAGCACTGGATTATTTTTCTGTGTGTGTGTGTGGGTGTGTGGGGCTGAAAAGGTTATGAAGATTGATGTATGATGTTCAAACCAACAAATCATTTTCAGAGCAGCCAGAAACCTAGCTTAATATCATGGTTTCTGCACAGTTTCTGCAGACTAGAGGGCACAAAACACCCCTCCCTCTTTCCCTTGGATGAGACACCGATCTATCGCATGGGGTCACATCCCCCAGCACTTATACAGCTGGGTGGTCTGAAGTAACTGGGATACAGTACCTCTAGGTACATCAGCAGTGTATGCAGCACAGAGTGGAACCTACTGCACTAATATGCCCAAAGGCTTACCCGCTGTGCTACGCCACCCCCAAACATCCTGGTAGTTACTTTAAAACAAACACCCCATACATTTGTGTTATGTGTAAGCTGAAAGAATTACTTGCTTTTAATCATAGGTTTTCTCATGTTAAGAGATTCCTAAACTGTTCGCGTTGAGTTAAGGCGTGAGAGAACAGGAACGATAATCGCTGCCGCCTACTGGCCTCGATTCCCTTGTCATCCCTGACCAGCAAAATGCCTGTTTCCAAAAGACTCCATGCTATTACAGGTCACCTGTGGTCGGACTACAGCTCGGTCCAATCCTGATAGAATAGATCGCAAACAGAGAAGTTCCTCAGCAGTTCACTTCCTTTTCTCCCGTCTAGTTTCGGCTGCAGTGGTAAACCACGGAAATTGGGCGTCAGCTCCACTAAAAGCAAACAAACTTCATCTTGCCGGATATCTGCAGGGAATAAAATATCCTGGTGCAGCCACACATACAGTGAGCAAATGTCACCTCTCACACCCCAGTGGAGAGCGACCAAAGCCACCTACTTTTAAAACGGATCTTTAAACAGAAGGTTCCACTTCTGTTCATCAAGCGTTAAGGCACTCAAAGTTAGGATTCACTACCCTTCTGCTCAGAAGCCCTTGACTGGCCAAGACTGAACAAGAACCCAGATTAGTATCCACACAGGATAAAAAAAATAAGTCTTCTGCTATGCAACAAACAGCTATGCTTGTCCAAAAGCGTTCTACAAAGAGAAATTTAGGAAATCACAAAAACAGCTGTTCCACTCCTGCCTATGTAGGGTGATGACTAAAATGAGGAAGGATCAGATTTGAAGAAGCTCAACTTTGATTCGCAAACTATAATGTCAAAAAATCTGGCCCGTCGGTTCCCAAGAATTTAGGAAGAAGAATACGAGCTCTGATCACTTGAGCTAGGACCAACTAATAATGGTAATGTAATTTTTTAATCGAAATTAAAAAATGATCTTTGAGGATCTTCTGAGGACTAGGGTTTTGGGGAGTAAAATTAGCAGGGAGGGGTGTTTTTAGTATGGAAAGATGGCTATCAGGGGCAGGCAATATCTCCTAGCTATTAAACACAGATAGAAACTGGGTCCCTAACTTACAGAACTCATGTGTTTATACGTATATGCATTATCCAGAACACACTGGGGAATCTTACTCTTTTAAAGCATGACTCATCTCCCATTTGATTCCTCTTTCACTTTCGTCTGAATTTTTCTGACTTTCCTTGACGGGAACGTTAGGTGCTTTCAGATTTCGGAGGGACATGTTAAACTCTCAGCAAAGCATAGTGGGGAAAAACTAGGATTATCACCAATCCTGCTGTAGCTCAAGAGAGAGCTCAACACAAAGACTTAATGATGGAAGACTCAACTAATACCAAGGTCACACAATAGCAGAAAAAAACCTATGTAGCTGGACACATTCATTGGTAAAAAAAATATCAGAAACACAGCCCTTTCCCCAACCAGTCTAACCACTGCATTTTCCCAGCAGCCTGGCGATGTGTGGGAGTCTTAAGGAATATGATGTATTTCCATCATCGCTTTCCCAACCAGAACAATATCTAGTTCCCAAGTCCTTTTGAAAAGAAGAATTAGACAGATCCATATATCCAGCAATTCAATCACACACACACCACTGGTCTCAGCGCAACCTCCGCAGAAAGCAATCTTTGGAAGAACGTGGATGGGGAGTGGGTTGCCAATATTTCAAGGCCTTGTGGGATACACCCTCACGTAGTGTTCGTTCAGCAACTCGACTCTGCAGTCGGATCCTCAAATTCTGACCAGTGAGTTTATAATTGGAGACTGATAACTGAAAACTAACACTCTGTGTACCAGTCAGAGACCCGTGCAAAAGCCTTCAATATCAACTATCTTGCTGTGGAGAAACAAAGAAGAAGCCCCTCAACCTGACACCTGCAAGGATTTCTTCTACCTTGAATCAAGAACAAAACTTTTAAAATCAAAATGTAAAACTTTTAAAATCCCAGCATTCCCTCTTCGCGGAACGAACAGACAACATCTCAGCGATGCTTTAAAGCCAGATTCCTCAGAATTTAAGGTAGGTCAGCTTATAAAAACCGTTCAGGGTGACTTGAGAACTTCTAGGAGGGGAAGAAAATGGCAGGGGGGTGTTTAATTAAAGAGATTAATGGCCTCTAATTGGCACGGTCATTACCTCCGCCAAGAAAGCTCAGTGTCAACAAGTGGCAACTGACCCCCCTTTCCAACTCCTATTCACCTCCATCTTTAAAAAAAAAAACACAAAACAGGCTCATCTCTCATCTTTCCCGCCCCTCCTCACAGGAACCCCTCTGCCACTGTTTTGTTTTATGTGAAGTTCTGGACGGGCTGGCTGACCCTCATACAGGCCCAGTAACAGGCCCGGCCCATGCAGATGAGCGCCAGCAGGATAACCACGACCCAGGAGGCGTAGATGCCTCCGTACCGCTGCGCGTGCTTCCACGTACCAGCCTGTGGGAAAAGCAAGAAAAAAAAAATCAAATAGACAAAAAAAAAAATTGTTCGCTGAAAACCAGGCCCACCAGACACCTCGCCAAAAGGACAGATAGCTCTAAACGTGTCTGTGAACATTTTAATTCACATGAACAGGGTCACTAATCTTCTCTGGACCCATGAAGATTGCAACCACCAACATTTTCTTACAAGACTCACAGACCAAAATGAGGAGTTGTCAATTTTGGGGTCAGCAGTGGGATTTTAGGGAAGATGCATTTAGGTCTGAAAACAGGGGGAAGGAGCATAAGGAACAAATAATCCTGCTGTTGGACCCAGCAATCTGGAATCTTGAGTAGAAGCACCATGGAGTCCTGGGTCGTTTGATTACTGAGGGGGCAGGTTGTTTTCATTCTGCCTGTTATTCTGCCTAATCCATTACAACCGAACATAAAACTGGGATATGCGCCTCCCTCTCTAGTTTCCCCCATAGTTTCCTGGGGGAACCAATTCAATCTCACTGTCATTTACGAACAGATTCATGAACTGGGGTTTCGGAACTGACACTGGCCCAAAACCACAGATTCCGGCATTAGAAGATATCTGGATGCAAAACATAGCGGCAGAGAGCAACAACCCTTTGCGCTCTGGGACAACAGGGCTACTCTTTTAACCCTCCCAGCAAAACCCCATGCTGAGAGAACTAAGAGAAGGAGGGCCAACTCACCGCAAGACCCCCAGCAACCATGGCAAAGAGAAGACCCATCAGGAAGCACCACAGACATCTCTTTCGTGGGTACCTCCTCCCGATGGAAGACCTGGAGGAGAACAGGAGCCAGAGAGCAAATCTCAGTTCCAGCTACAGAATCTTGCCTGCCTACAACATCTCAACCACCCAACCCAAAGTCAGCTTCCTTCTTTCATGCAGCTACTCAACTTCTCCAGCTCAGACAGCGGGGTCAAGACAAGTATTTCTACTGTGCATTACTGCCGGCGAAATACATTTTTTCCTCATCTCTAGTATGACGTGACAGGCCACTCTAGTTCTCCTAACTACCTCCAAAGACCTGAAGGTGCACCACTGAAGCAAGGGATGCACACAGTGGAATTCAAACCAAACCAGGCACCTGTACACCAGATACATGCCGACTACCCACAACCTAGTTCTGGCACTTCTTGGCCAGCAGATGCTAAGTAGTGGCACAACCCTCTCGTGTCCCACCTGCAGACAACAAAACCATACTGTGCACTTCAGCAGAGGTTTTGCCCAGAATATCTCTGGAAGAGAATTTAATGTGAGCAATCACACAACACTACTCCCCACCCCCTGCAGGCAGTTAATTGCAAGAGGCCTCCTTCAACAGCCTCCTCACTTTCATGTCCCCAGGTGTGATTAAAGTATGCAGAAGATGGAACCTCTTAGTTCTGTGTACAGCTTCAGCCGAACTGGTGTCGGTGTGAGAGAAGACGGACAGCTGACTGAATGTCCTTCTGATTTATGCCAGCAGCTGTGTCACCCTGCATACAACTCTCAACTTGCAACCCACTGAAACTAAGCAGGTGTGAGTGGGGACACTATGATGTAAATAGGCGCTGTCCTTCGGTTGAGATGTAAAACCGATGTCTTGACTCTCTTTGGTCATTAAAAACCCCAGGGTGTTTCTCGACAAGGGTAGGGCTGTTAACCCTGGTGTCCTGGCCAAATTATCCACTGGCCTTTACCACTCATGGCCTCCTAATAATCCCCATCTCTGAACTGACTTCATCAATCTGTTCTCCTCCCCACTAATAGATGGTGCGTGATGAGCACACTGGCGCACTCTGGCTGCCGTTGCATCATCCAGGTGGGGCTACAGATTGGTGATGGTGGAGGAGGGGAGTCCCCATTACCTGTAAAGTGCTTTAAGTGGAATGTCCAGAAAAGCACTATATAAATGTAAGGAATTATTATTATAGAACATGGCTCTGACTGTCTCCAAAAATTCAGTTAATACACCTCAACGATGCCTGACCAGATGTAAGATCTTTAAGGCCTGACAGTCTAGGAACTACTGACTGCTTCTGCACCAGTAAACTCCTGCTTCAAAACAAAACCTGCTATATTTGCAGATTATATTTGAGATTCCTGCTGATCTCTAATTAAAACTCATCAAGAGGCAAACAAAATAAATCTGTGCTTTCATTTCCAAGTTGGTCTCCACTGCTGACCCATGGCACATATCTCAAGTTGGTACATCCCCTGAATTGATTAATGGGACAAGACTGCTTACACTTTTCTGCAGTGAGGGCATCGTGCTAATGTTCTGTCTGTAAATTCTGTCCACTGCAAAAGAGAGGAGAGACAGCGTTAAGGTCGCCTGAGCAACAGCGATCAGACACGCTTTTCTGCAGACAAGTCTAAACTGAAGAGAAATAAGCAGCGCCGGAGGAAAAAACAAACATGGGTGGCCAGGGTCTGACAGGAAGCAGAAAATATCAGTGGGAAGATGAAGGAGAACAAGTCAGCAGCCTATATTTTTGTAAAAAGGTTGCGTCACAGGACACGCAGGACAAAAAATACTTTGCCTAAAATAAAATAAAGTAAAAAAATAAATGACCCAAACTGTTTTTTTTTGCTTACAGAGCCTTATCTTACAGTAATATCTATTATGGAATTTGCTTCTAACCATCCCAGTTTTGGGGGGTTGAGCAGTAAAACCACCAACAAGCACTCAGCTTGTACCCCATATTGAGTGTGACAACTCTCGGGGTGGGGGGGGGGGGGGGGTTGGACCGAATGGGGACTGAACTCTTGGTTGGGAAGACAGCCAGTCAAACTTAACATGTGCATCCTTGACAGGTGATAGCAAGTACCTGGAATATCTGGGGAGAGGCACTGGGAAACATCACAGACAGGCACCGAGGACCACAGCTGGAGGACATGCCCTCCCCACAAGCTCTGTGGGAGGAGAGTGAAACGGGAAACCTACCAGGAAGGTGTTTTTGCAGTGTCCACAAGTGACGCGAGCTCCTACAGGCTGAGGCTCGGGGCTGGCTGGACCAGGATGGACGGGCCCCAAGTTTATGATCCTTTTACTGCCAGACGAAAGCGAAAGAGTTGAAACCATTTTGACACCAGAGTCATGGAGATAACTAACCTGCAACAAAACCACTTGCAAACCGCTAAGAAGGCAGCGGCATTCCTCTTCTGTGGAAGATCAGATCAGATCACTTTATCAGCCACATACGATTTCTTGCATTAGCAATTTGTCCTTTCGCAGACCCCAGCTTGCTCTCCATGAGACACACAGACAGGGAGAGAGAAGCTGAGGGTCAGAGCGCAGGGTCTGCCATTGTACAGCACCCCTGGAGCAGCTGGGGTTAAGGGCCTTGCTCAGGGGCCCAACGGAATAGGATTCCTCTGCCGGCCGCGGGATACGAACCGGCAACCTTCCAGCCACAGGCGCAGATCCTGAGCCACAGAGCCCAATTACTCCTCCCATTACTTACTCATCGTGTGAGTAATGACATTAATTACAGTGGAAGCTGGATCAACTGCTCATACATTCTGCTGTTCTTGAATGGGATCAGTGGGCTACTTTGCAAATCGTCTGATGGCTTTCCAACACTCTCTCAAAACCATAAAACCGAAATAGCACACAACCGAAAGCTCCACACATCGCTGGCAGACAGCCAGATGGATACCAACAAACGCAGGGGGAGGATGCGACGTAAATCTACAGGCCCGCAGCGGCGCTCCTCAAAGACCCATATTTAGCCGGATGTCCTCTCGGCCACTCCCACTTCCTCCCACTCCCATTCCCATTCCTCAGATGGCAATTCGATGGACAACCACCTCTCTCTCTCCCCCCTTATCCTTTACCACCTGTACAAGACACACCCGGTGGGGAGAGCAACATGCAACACGCACTGCGCGCTCTTTTAGTGAACCGCAGCCGGCACGGGGGCTGGGAAAAAATGAGTTCCTCAGTTCCGAGGCGGCCGGAGCACACAGGTGCTTACGTAGAGTCCAGGCCGAGTCTTCCCGGAGAAGGGAGAAGTGGTTCGGTACTGGCACAGTTTAGATCAATCGCTAGGGCTCCACATTTGTGGATTAGATAAAAAAAAAAAGAGAGGGGGGTTAATGGCTCTTTCCAAAAGCTGGCCCTGGGACTCACCAGTACGGTCGAGGGCAGGCTATCCTCTGCGACGTCACCTTGCAGATCAGCAGGCAGTTACAGGGACAGCGGACGTACTTTTTCCCGGCGGGAGCGTTCTTGATGGGCTGGAAACCAACAAACAATTAGGACACAGGGGGGTTCCCCATCCACCGGATGCCTGCAAGGTTTTGAGCTTTCTTTAAAGCACCGGTACCCGAGTGCTCAACTCATCCGCTTCAGCCAATAATTGAGCTGACGCAGCTTTGTGGTTTTGATCCAAACCAGACTGCAGACATATATACACGCCAACCCACCAGGACTAGGATTGGGGAATCCCTGAATTAGGGTCACTCATATTTACTCCTGACAACCATTTCACTTCTTATATATCTAGATTGGCCTAGATTGGCAGGGGGGGGGCTGTCTCTATGACTACAGCGTTTAACAGCAGTCGGACGATGCCCTATTAATGAGTATAGAGGAATCGCACTGTGCTTTCTGACAGTTCGTGTCCTGCTCCGAGTAAGCAGGTCAGTAAACAGATAGAGAGACCCACAGAGGAAATAAAAAACAATCAAGCTTTCATAGACTGAAGCGCTGAAAATTAGATCAAATCCTACACGGATGAAATTAAAATGTAAATTGTTTTCTCAGTTTTCAGGTTTATTGGGTTTGAACCTCCCTCACTAATTTGACCAGAACCGTGTAAATGGCTTCAGACATGCCGCACAGTGAAAGAATAGTCCCGAACCACTGTCCCATGCAAGTATTGGGTTGCAGAAACGTTCATCTGCTACGAGACTGAAAGCTCGTTAGCTAGAACATTCAACCCCTTCTTTGATGTATAGCTTCAATGCAAGAAACCTTTCGATCTCCACTCCCCCCCCCCCAAACCAAACCTTTGACCACGCTGGTTGATTCCACGTCAGTCTCGCGGCACCCCACTGCTCTGAGCTGACTCGCACCGACATCAATTAGAGCCTCCCTGTGTCCTGGGGGAAACGTGCTTCAGGGCCTACGGCAGGAGTCCAGCACAACACCACCAGAGACCACCGCACGTCAGCGGATCAGAGAGTCATGTTACGTTGCAGGGGAGGAAAGAAAGATGTCTCCGACTCGGGGTGTTTTTCTCCAGTAAGAATAGCTGTTCAGGACCGGACTTTGTGCTTTGTGTCTGTTACGACCCCAAGTGTCTAGGGGTAAAGGGGTGTAACGTTTAGCATAATTTTCGGAAGCAGGTGGGTTCTGGTGAGGGACTAGGAAGCGCGATATTAAGGTTCTGTGCAAAAGTGATGATTTTAAGTTGAATAGGTTACTGGTACGTAATAGGACACAATAACACACAGGGTAAGGGAAATGAAGTGGTGCCAAAAAAAAGAAAATAAACAAAATGGAGCTGGCTAAGAAAGTGAGGGAAAGCTGACCTGACTACAAAAGAAAACCCAAACACACGGTCTTCGGCGTCTTCAACACCCTAGCTAACCTCCACTGACTACCCAAAACTATACAAGACAAACGGCACTCACCCTTACTAAACTAGCGTGACTAATACAAGAATCAACTGTGTGTGCAAAATGTACCCAACAACCTGAACTAACTCTATACACAAAAGTTTACACAAAAACATGAGTGACCTAGGAATACAAACGAGAGTAGACAAGTAACAGGGTACAAATGAACACAGAGGTTGATGATACAATACGTTTGGGCAAGGTAATGGCAAAATAAGGATAACCCAAACAAACGAAAGTACAAAGAGACGAACAGAAACCAACAAAAAAACAAAGTCGTAGCTATACGAAAACATACACACACACGGAAAGCAAAACAACAAACCAACAAAGCCGAGGCAAAAACGAAGCGAAAACCAAAGCCGAGCGGGACCGAAGCCAAACGAAAGGCCCCTTCCTCCTGAAAGCCTCCATGTTTTATACTGAATAATATGAGTTGTGATTGATGGAGAAGCTAACTGAAGATGATGCCATACGGAAACAGTGGTGTAATGATGGACCAACGGGGAAGAGAGAACAATCAAAGTCAGAAGTGTGGACTATAACAACAAACACGCACAGACCACACACTGGGACGTAACAGTGTCAGCTGGCATTCACTGAAATAATCGTCTGCTGAAAATGGATGGTCTTGTGTTTTTACATGGGGCGCGCCTGATACACATTGTTACTGTTACTGGGCCTGTTTGAGGGTCAGCCAGCCCGTCCAGAACAAAGCAGTAGCAGAGGAGGGGCGGGCAAGATGAGAGATGAGCCCGTTACATGTTTTTTGGGGGCAAGGCGTCTGGTGGGCCTGGTTTTCAGCGAATGGCTTTTTGAAAAACGTTTTTTCTTGCTTTTCCCACAGGCTGGTACGTGGAAGCACGCGCAGCGGTACGGAGGCATCTACGCCTCCTGGGTCGTGGTTATCCTGCTGGCGCTCATCTGCATGGGCCGGGCCTGTTACTGGGCCTGTATGAGGGTCAGCCAGCCCGTCCAGAACTTCACATAAAACAAAACAGTGGC